TCAAGACCTCCGTCTTGTCCGGGTTCAGCCTTAACCCATTCAACTGCATCCATTCCAAAACAGTTTCTAGGCAGCACTGAAGGGACAGGATGGCATCCATTGAGGTAGATGAAAAGGAGATGTAGAGCTGTGTGTCATCAGCATACTGGTGACACGATGCTCCACACCCCTGATGATCCCACCTAGCGGCCTCATATAGATGTTAAACAGCAGTGGAGAGATGATCGACCCCTGTGGAACCCCACAGTTGAGACTCCACGAGGCCAAGACATTCTCCCCAATCTGAACTCTCTGGGGACGGTCCTCCAAGAAGGAACGGAGTCAGGCAAGGGCCTGGCCACCAATTCCCAACTCAGAGAGCCTCCCCAGGAGGATACCGTGGTCAACGGTATCAAAGGCCGCTGAGATGTCGAGGACTAGATTTATGCCTGGCATTAGAACATAAATTTTTCAATGTCCATGCGGACTCTGATATCAGCAACTTGTATTCCAGCTATCCCTTATTTCTGAGTGAATCCTATTATACCAACTAGTGTACCATACATGTATTTGATCATTGAATTATGTCAAATACAAAACATGATGGTGTGTGTGTCTGCACGCACTTGAGCTAGAATTATGGAGTCATTGAACTTCCAGTTTCTAGTCCCAAAATATTCTAGTTTGTTATTGTTTAGTCCTTAAGTCATGTCTGACTATTCGTGACCCCATGGACCAGAGCACGCCAGGCCCTCCTGTCTTCCACTGCCTCCCGGAGTTGGGTCAAATTCATGTTGGTAGCTTCGGTGACACTGTCCAACCATCTCGTCCTCTGTCATCCCCGTCTCCTCTTGCCTTCATACTTTCCCAACATCAGGGTCTTTTCCAGGGAGACTTCTCTTCTCATGAGATGGCCAACATATTGGAGCCTCAGCTTCAGGATCTGTCGTTCCAGTGAGCACTCAGGGTTGATTTCTTCCAGAATTGATAGGTTTGTTCTCCTTGCAGTCCAGGGGACTCTCAAGATCTCCTCCAGCACCACAATTCAAAGGCATCAATTCTTCGGCGGTCAGCTTTCTTTATGGTCCAGCTCTCACTTCCATACATTGCTACTGGAAAAACCATAACTTTGACTATGTGGACCTTTGTTGGCAAGGTCTACTTTTTAAGATGCTGTCAAGGTTTGTCACCACTTTCCTCCCAAGAAGCAGTGTCTTTTAATTTCATGGCTGTTGTCACTATCTGCAGTGATCATAAAGCCTAAGAAAGTAAAATCTGTCACCACCTCCATATCTTCCCCTTCTATTTGCCAGGAGGTGATGGGACCAGTGGCCCTGATTTCTGTCCCACATATTGATTTCTCAGGAGATAGATAAGGTGGTCATGCATTCCCATTTCTTTAAGAACTTGCCATAGTTTGCTATGGCCCACACAGTCAAAGGCTTTTGCGGAGTCAATGAAGCACTGGCCTTGTTGTTAGCTGTGCTTTCTAAGGACCACTTGACTTCGCTCTTCAGGCTGTCTGGCTCAAGGTCAGCAACCACACTCTCTGGGTTGTCCGGGACATCCAGGCTTTCTGGTATAATTCCTCTGTGAATTCTTGCCACCTCTTCTTGATGTCTTCTGCTTCTATGAGGTCCCTCCCATTTTGTCCTTTATCATGTCCATCTTTGCACAAAATGTTTCTCTAATATCTCAAATTTTCCTGAACAGATCTCTAGTTTTTCCCTTTGTATTATTTCCCACCATTTCTTTGCACTGTTCATTTAAGAAGGCCCTCTTGTCTCTCCTTGCTATTCTTTGAAAGTCTGCATTCAATTTTCTGTAACTTTCCCTATCTCCCTTGCATTTTGTTTCCCTTCTCTTCTCTGCTATTTGTAAGGCCTCGTTGGACAGCCACTTTGCTTTCTTGCATTTCCTTTTCTTTGGGATGTTTTTTGTTGCTGCCTCCTGTACAATGTTACGAGCCTCCATCCACAGTTCTTCAGGCACTCTGTCCGCCAAATCTAGTTCCTTAAATCTGTTCTTCATTTCCACTCTGTATTCATAAGGGATTTGGTTTAGAGATTATACCTGACTAGCCCAGTGGTTTTTCCTACTTTCTTCAGTTTAAGCTTGAATTTTGCTATGAGAAGCTGATGATCAGAGCAAGAGTCAGCTGCAGGTCTTTTTTTCCTGACTGTATAGAGCTTCTCCATCTTTGGCTGCAGAGAAAATAATCAATCTGATTTCAGTATTGCCCATCTGGTGATGTCCATGTGTAGAGTCACCTCTTGTGTTGTTGGAAAAGAGTGTTTTGTGATGACCAACTTGTTCTCTTGACAAAACTCTATTAGTCTTTGCCCTGCTTTGTTTTGAACTCCAAGGCCAAACTTAACCTGTTGTTCCTTTTATCTCTTGACTCCCTACTTTACCATTCCAGTCCCCTAAAATGATAAGAACATCTTTCTTTGGTGTCAGTTCTAGAAGGTGTTGTAAATCTTCATAAAATTGGTCAGTTTCAGCCTCTTCAGCATTGGTGGTTGGTCATAAACTTAGATTGCTGTCATATTGAACGGTCTGCCTTGGATTTGTATTGAAATTATTCTATCATTTTTGAGATTGCATCCCAGTACAGCTTTTCCCACTCTTTTATTGACTATGAGGGCTACTCCATTTGTTCTACAGGATTCTTGCCCACAATAGTAGATATGATAATGGTTTGAATTAAATTCGCCCATTCCCGTCCACTTTAGTTCACTGAACTCTCCACTATGACCTGTCCGTCTTGGGTGTCCCTGCATGGCATAGCCCATAGCTTCTCTGAATTACTCAAGCCCCTTCGCCATGACGAGGCAGCAATCCACGAAGGGGATTCTAGTTTAGCTTATGCTTAACGCATACGTTATGTTGCCTCAGATCAATGCTATATTGGTATTTTTGTTGTTGTTTAGTCGTTAAGTGGTGTCTGACTCTTCGTGACCCCATATAGGAACAAAATGTAAAGGGACCACAAAGCGGATTTTGTCTTTTAAATAAAGGCCTGTAAAGCATAACAAGACCTTACCACACTGTAGATAATAATACTACAATTACATTATAAGATACAAGCCATCAGTCTAAAAGGAAATGCAATAGTTCAGGTCACTGAAGCCGACTATCTTTGCAAGATATTATCAGTATTTGAAAGTTGCATTAAAATCCAGGCAATTAAAAACAGAACTACCCTAAAGGATTCAACAGATGTATTGTATTCTCTACTTAGACAAAACAGTTTAGTATGATATCCTGTATATTCTAAAAACACATAAAAAAGGTTTTAAAAAATTACCTTGTAACACCACTGGCCAAGGAGATAGTAAGATCTAGGATTATCTGGTTTCAGAGTGATTGCTTGATCAATGTGTTTCTAAAGAGATGTACAACATAGGAAATAAGTATTTATTGAGTAAAACTGAAAAATTAAACTTAAAAGCCTGCATTTTAGGAAAAAAGCTAACAGCATTAAACCTTTAAAATACAAGAATTTTTTAAAATGAAAGCAGTAAACCTATAAAAGGTTGATAATATACCACTTGTTAACACCAAGTCTACAGCAGAAATAAATGAAGACAAACTTTGTTTTCATTATTATGAAACCACCTTAGCTTATGTGCTGAAACCTCTTAAGGAATAAAGAAAACATTTTCTCGCTTATGCCTATCGAAACTTTTTAAATGCTTCCTCCAACATGCACTGCACAGAGTGGATGAAAGTTCTTTTCCTGTTCTGTTATGCCACATTAGTAGAGACTACCAGGATGTCTATGTAATTATCACCTGAACTGTTACTAGACCACAGTCATCCTAAAACCTCCTTACCATTTTCAGTTTAGTCCCCACCCCTCCATGATGCACTCTGTGCATATAAAGCTGCGGCCTACCTATTGTACTCCACATGTGAGGAATCAACTTCAGTGTGATCCAGGAAATTCACATTGAAGTAAACTGATAGGTCTTTAAGGTGGCATAACTATTTAAGTTTTTTTCCTATGCATGCTCAGACTAACATGGCTAGCTCACTGGGAAGATGGCAATCCCAGGATGTAAAATGGGTATCAATAGTTCATTTGAAGATAAGCCCAACACATTTCGGCTATTGCATTTTTAGCCTTCTTCAGGGGCACTGATATTATGCTTATGTAGAATCTGTCTCTGAGGATATTTTTGTGGACAATCTCTCACTCATTTTTAGATAAAGGAGTGAGAGATACGTCCTGGGACTACCATCTCTCCTTGCTTGACAGCTTCAGTGGATGTACCAGTCCTTTTTGTGCTTAGCTCACTGAAAGCACATTACTGGATAATGCACGTGAATGAAAAAACAAACAAAAAGAAATAAACTGGGGATGTCAACTGGGGCAAACAACCCATTCATTCTACTTTCCCTGGTTGTTTCATTCACAGCTATATACATTAATCAGGAATGCAGGAGAGTAGCAAGAAAAGCAACTATTATATGTGCTGGGGAAGGGCATACGAGAGAGATAATGAGGGTGGGAGAGATTTGCTGCAGGACACTAGATGAGGTAAGTCAGGATTATTAAAGCTATAAATGTTTCAAATACCGTTTCCCCGAAAATAAGACCTAACCTGAAAATAAGCCCTAGTATGATTTTTCAGGATCCTCGTAATATAAGCCCTACCCCCAAAATAAGCTCCAGTAAAGTGAAACCCTGTCCTCCACCATTGTGCAGCAAGCAGAAGATGACATGACTGCATTTGAATAAATGTAGATTGTTGTACATGAAAAAAATAAAGCATCCCCTAAAAATAAGCCCTAATGCATTTTTGGAGCAAAAATTAATATAAGACCCTGTCTTATTTTCAGGGAAACATGGTAATATTAGGGCAAACCATGACTATAATCAATTTTGCAGGTTAGTCTTACAGTACCATTTAGGCATGATAAGATACAGAGTATCTTACTTTTCCCACATACAAGGAAAAGTCTTTTAAGACAGTGGCCCCCAACCTTTTCCCAACCACAGACCGGTTGGAGGAGCAGGTGGGTGGGTAGGGTGCTCACTCAGGGTGGAGCATGCTTGCACACATTGCAGGGGTATACTCGTGCACATTACGGAGGGTGCTCACTCACATGCATGTGCAGGGCGCATGCTCATGGGTAGGGCGGCACACTCATGCACATGTGCGGGGGACACTTGCGGGGGGCAGGACTCTCTTGCACAGGGGCGAGGGGAGTGCGCACAGGGAGCGGTAGATCTGTCTCCACAGCCCGGTCCTGCCAGGGCCACGGCCCTCTACGAAGCCGCGGACCGGGGGTTGGGGACCCGTTTTAAGATACACAAAAAGCAGTCATGCTTACCTTAAACTCATGCCCTGCTTGAATGCGTTTTTGTATACTTTCATGTTCTGAGAACTGACCACACAGAATAGCATACCTGGAAATTACACCAAGCCTAAACATCAGTGCATAATTCCCAAATATGGCTTTTCAACTGTACTGATTTTTATTCTAAAATTTAATGTAAACTTAATATTTTCTCCAGGGAAACAATTGCATCCTATCAATTTTATCGATAGTGAGGCTACAGCAATTTCCTCATGCAGTGATAACACCGTAATAGCAACAGTGAAAAAGTAAGGACAGGTTACTTACCTGTAACTGTATTTCTTTAATTCACACCTATGGGTTGTTTCTGCACCTATGCAAAACTCCTCAGAACATTCTAGAGCTTAAACAAAAATCTGTTAGATCAGATCCTCCCACTGCTCATGTCTGCACATCAAATGACCACCCTACAGTTCCTCAATCCACCTCTGTATAAAAGGCAGATTAGTGGAGTAGCAGACTGAGGGGAGGATGGGTGGGTGGTGTGAATCAGAGATCCTTGACTGGGAGATATTATGGTAGAAAGAGATGACAGTCTATGACCAGTATCCTTGTCAGTCTCAATGAAGGAACTTGATGCAGGAGAAGGTGGAGAATGGGTCCAAACCAATCGTCCACAGTGTCAGAGATTGTGTTTTCTTGATTCCAGGTGTTTATGGTTCCAAGAAGTACATCTGGATTTTAGAGAATTCCCTCTCCACAGTAGACTGGAAGGAATGTCCATTTACATGTCTTAAATAAAAAGAGATTTATCTCTGGTCATACTAAGGTGTTTTGAAAGAAGAGCTTCAATGAAGAGTTTCTGAACCCGCACAGCACAGGGGAGAACCATAAAAGAACTGATTTGTTTCCCTTTGTAACAGACGGGATAGATGATTAATGGTAGTGAAAAGTTCAATTCAGTTCCTGAATATGTCCCCTGGTGAAAAGAGGGTATTACACCACAGAAGCAGAGTGGAAGGAAATTACTTCTGATGGTGTTGAATTTTACATGAACTCTCATAAGAGATTCTTTCCTATGCTGCAGAAACTGAACAGGAAAACCAGTCATGCAAATATGAGCATTCCTGAGAACAACGCTGATCCTGGTGAGGAGTGTCTTGTAAGAAAGAAAGCTCCTGTAGCGAGTGTTGGATTGACTAGCTCCATTCTGGAGACTGGCTAAAAGCTGGGGAATTGTTTTGAGGTTGGGTTGCATCCTACTCTGAAGTGGAACCAAGACAGTCAAGGTCAGCCTGGGTTTGAAGTGTAGGGGGGTCTTGGGAAGCCCAAGACTCTTCAGAATAGTCCTTAAATTTTATGGACTTCTTCTTGGGATCTCTAACCTTGTGTTTGGTTTTCTAAGCAGAAGCAGCATCCAAATCAGAAGGTTTATTTACTACTATTTAATTTAAAATATTTTTATGTCTCCTTTCTCCTTAAAAAGGCCTCGAAGCAGCATCCAAATCAGAAGGTTTATTTATTACTATTTAATTTAAAGTATTTTTATGTCTCTTTTCTCCTTAAAAAGGACTCGAGGCAGCTTACATAATTAAAATACGCTATTTAAAGCTTAAAAACCATGAGTATTCAAAGGTGGCTTACATAATCAAAGGACAATATTTAAAGCTAAAAAGCAATAGGCATACAAATACCAAAAAGAATAAAACAAATACCACTCTGAGAAATGGTAAACAAAAGCAATACTAAAAACACATTCAAAGCAGTAAGGTATTTAAAAATCCCACTCAGGTAGCCAGTCACTAAGGGTAAGCTTGCCTGAAGAGAAAGTGCACCTGCTTACAGAAGGGCACCTGCAAGGGCAGAGAGATTTGTCGAAGCAGGTGGTAAACTGACCAGTGTGGATGATTGTAATATGTCTTGGTCTTTTAGTAGTTGGTTGGTCCGGGATGTCATGGTAGGTTCAGTATAGGTGGGCTCTATATCTGGTGCTGAAGAAGGGCCCTGGGAGTGTGAACCAACTGCTTGAAGGGATTTCTCCCAGAGATGGGATTTGTGATTTTAAGTGCAACCTTGGTTAGCTTTCAACAGTGTTGATAAGACTGCATCTGAGGCGGAAGAGGCAGCTTGAGTGTCCATTAGTGAGGAAAATAAGGAAATATCTTACTTCCACATGAAATGTCCTTTTTTTTGAAAGGGCCCATAAAAAGATGGGCAATCTTCACAAAAGAAGAGAAAACTTGGAACTCAGGCTAGGAAAAACAGGGGTCGACAAGGAGAGGAGTCAAAGTACAAAGAGAAAAAGAACAAAATCTAATGATTTTTAGGAAGACTCACAAAGGAAAGTGAACAAAAAGATGAGGAAATGACAAAACAGGTAGCTCATAAATTTGAGTCTCCCCACAAAAGCAAAATAGGAACTGAGAGATGGTCACTGGGCACATGGGCACACACAATGGGAAGAGCTGATCTGTTTGCTTAAGCTCTAGAATGCTACAAGGAGTTTCACACAGGCACAGAAACAATCCATATGTTTGATTCACTGAGACCACAAAGAACAAGTACTGTATATTCAACGAACACTGCAGCAGCAATCCATACAATTCAAACAGCTCTGCTTGATACCTTGTCACCTTGATTTACTTTTCATGTAGAAAAGAATTTTCTCTAGACTTTCTATAAACACAGATAAACTTGGCTAAGATTACCACAGCATAAACCAACCCGACAAAGTCTGTTAAATTCTGGAGACAATCCAGCTCTTGGTTTAGGCAGATAGGCTGACACATTTAGCTCACGGCTGTTTTGCTTAGCCTTATTAAGAATGTAAAGGAAGAAATCCAATTGACTACTCCTTGCAGAATCCCAGAGTAAAGGAAGAAATCCAATTGACTACTCCTAGCAGAATCCCAGAGAAATGCATATTACTAAATGATGACCTCCGTGAGAGAAGGTCAGAAAAGGCACTACAGATCTCGATGGACAAATACTCTATGAACTAACACTCACTACAGTGATGAGACTGTGGCAGATGGAAAACAGGAGAAAAGGGGTGTTGGATTCTTGGATTTGTAGAACAATGGAAACATGAGAGAACTTTGACACTAAATAACTGTTTTCTGACATCTTTGTGCCTATCTAGTAGCAAGGCCTGAAAGTTCAAGAGTTCATGTCAGATTCTAATTAATCTTGTTCAAAAATTCCACAAATATTAAGCTGATATAATAAAAGTTATTAGAAAAATACTAAAAGTTGAAGTGATCTTTAAAATGCATTTTTACAGGGCTATAGAAAAAACTAGAAAAAGCCATATAAAACCTTTGTGAACTCTCACAGACTCTATCCTCAGTAACAGCATAGGTAATTACCTTGAAGCTTCCCATTAAGCCAGGCACTAGGAAACTTTATCCCCAGTAATAATAGCATTTACCACAACAGCTTGTACGAATCCTACCACACTCAGAAGACAGCATTTTTGGTTTCTAATGCTGTGCTAGCAAGAAGAGTCTGAACAGGATAACTGGAACTTGTCAGTACAAGTAAATCTGGAACATTTGGCATGAACTCCCAAGAATATTAAAGACTAAAAACTGAACCACACTTATTTGGGAGTAAGTCCCAGTGAACACAGTCAGGTTTATTTCCAAGTAAACATGCATCTAATCAGCAGGAACTGATTACTTCCCCTTCTCCTGGTTAACACATTAGGCCAAAACAAGTCATAAAGAAAATATTGAACTACAAAGAAACTAACTCAGCAGAGTGAGGAATGTCAGAGACTAGAAAGAGCAGGGCTAAGTAACTCAATACTCCCAAATCTCCCACCGGTTGATAGAGTCTGACTCCATGGGAAAGCAACCAGGGAGACTGTCAGAGTTCCATTTGTCTTGTCTCTCTTTCCCCCTGCTGCTATCCCACAACTTGGACTGTACATGTTGATGGCTCAGATTTGGAGTCCTACATCTCAGAACTGAAAGGATTTCCATGAACCTTAGCCAGCTGAAAAAACAAGAACCAGTCACCTCGAACTGTAAGGAGATATGCAGACTTTTTTTTACCACAAACTCCACACCACAAATATTTGCCTAGTGTGCATTTATCTCCAACATTCTTTGGCCAACAGATGGTTAACAATCATAATCTATTTTTAAAAAATACAAAATATTTTTATTCCAATATTTAAAAACAATATAAAAACACAACAACAGCAACAATGGAATGTTTAGAACAGTAGAACTCTTAAAAGGCAGAATGAACAACAATAAATAAAAGGATCAAAAACAAAACTATTAGTGTTTGGGGAGTATCAAATAAAACTGTTTTCACATTGTGCCTAAAACTCATAACACCGTGTCAGGCACAATGAGGTGGGCAATGTAAGACCAGGACACAGACTCTAAGGCTCAATGTTCATTCCCCATTCACCTAATAGATGACTCTAAAGGACAGAGGCAGAACTCAGATATGATGCATTGATAATCTTAGTGGTACAGTATTTGCTAAAGCAAACTTTTCACAACTTATCAACAAGGTACCGCAGTGCATCTCAGTTGTGTAAATGGGAATATTATCAGGGACATGCCCAATACATGCCCTTTTACCTCATCCTTTAGCTGTAATTAGTCACATCATGGTTGTTGTTTAGTTGTTTAGTCATGTCCAATTCTTCGTGATCTCATGGACCAGAGCACGCCAGGCCCTCCTATCTTCCAGTGCCGCCGAGAGTTGGATCCAATTCATGTTGGTAGCTTCGGTGACACTGTCCAACCATCTTGTTTTCTGTCGTCCCCGTCTCCTCTTGCCTTCATACTTTCCCAACATCAGGGTCTTTTCCAGGGAGACTTCTCTTCTCATGAGATGGCCAACATATTGGAGCCTCAGCTTCAGGATCTGTCCTTCCAGTGAGCACTCAGGGTTGATTTCTTCCAGAATGGATAGGTTTGTTCTCCTCGCAGTCCAGGGGACTCTCAAGAGTCTCCTACAGCACCACCAAAACCATCAATTCTTCGGCAGTCAGCCTTCTTTAGGGTCCAGCTCTCACTTCCATACATTGCTACTGGAAAAACCGTAGCTTTGACTATGCGGACTTTTATCAGCAAGGTGATGTTT